GGAGGTGCGACAAGTCCCCCAAAACAGAGAGCGTGTCTTTCTCCTCTGCAAGCCCTCTGTGGCACCTGCCCCTCAGGTTGGCCTTTTCCTGGTCCCTCCTGCAACGTGCCTGCATCTCGAATTCTATCACCAGATTGTTCCTTCTCGCCTGGGTGTCCTGGTCTGCTGGGCGTTAGTACGGACTCCCAGCTCCTGTGCAAACGCTTTGACCATGTGCCTCCCTACTTCTCATTTCTCTCTCCTTCCTCTGATACACAGCCAAGATTCAAGTGGGGAGGCTCGGGGGCAGAGGCCTGCAATCAGGAGCCTGGGGTGCAGTCCGGTGACAGGGCAGGGTCCTGGCTGAGCACGACAGCAGCAACAACTGTGTATGGAGACAATGTGCTTACACACAAGGGACTAAGCCTCGGGGACTGCAGTCCACTGGGCAGGGCATTGTGGACTCCGAAACAGGGTGGGGCCTTTTTTTTTTTTTTTTTCTGTGACCACCAGGTGGCATGAAGTGATGTGTGCGACCCTGCCTCAGTTATAGCAAGGACCTTCGCCCAACCCCTGGGCTTCCCAGCTACCGCTGTCTCCTCTCTACTTGTAAAGCTGTCTTTACACACATTTCTATTTTATTACGTAGATTCTTGTGACTTTGAATCCTTCGTGGCAGTAGCTGAGGTGTTCTAAGTAAATGAATAACCCCAGGACTGGAACAAAAGCAGTCTCTGCCCAGTTACCCAGGATATTCAGCTAACACTGAATCTCTGCTTCCCGGGCTCCAGTGGATGCTCTACTCTGTTCTGAGATCATCAGTGAGCTGTGATTGCCCCGGCCAGAGACTGAAAGGGAATCAGGCCAGGGGTTAGAAGAACGGGGTCACACCCTGATTGCTTGGGACCTTGGCTGGGAGGGGAGGAGTGTGGCCTGGAGATGGGAACACCCGCAGTGAGGGTGACTGAATTCTAAGGGGCAAAGGATTTGGGCTGGGCTGCATTATGACTTTTGGGGTTCCTGGGTAGTTTTGCCTTCTGCCATTAAAAAATATAAAAGTTATATTTTTTTAAATTAAAAAAAATTATATCTGTATTTTTTGAGACAGAGTTTTGCTCTTGTTGCCCAGGCAACAATGAGTGCAATGGTGTGATCTCCACTCACTGCAACCTCTGCCTCCCAGGTTCAAGCGATTCTCCTGCCTCAGCCTCCAGAGTAGCTGGAATTACAGGCATGCGCCACCTCGCCTGGCTAATTTTGTACTTTTAGTAAAGACGAGGTTTTTCCATGTTGGTCAGGCCGGTCAAAAAATTGTATTTTACAATTGTGCTGGTAGACAAAAACAATCCTGGCTGGATTCATTGTTATATATTCACTTTTTTCTTTTAAATGTAGAAAGGTGAAAATTAAAATAGTTTTGCAGCCTCTAAAAGTACTCTGTGGCTGCTAGAGAATCCCTGGGCTACAGGGCCGTAAGAATTGGCCCGGGGCAAGAAGCATCGCTGTGTTCAGATGAGCCCTGTTTGTGTCCACAGAGATCAACTCTTGTTCACTACTGCGCGGCCTCACTTTTCTTTTTCTTTCCTTGTTTTTTTTTTTTTTTTTTTTTAAAGGCAGGGTCAAATTTTGTTGCCCAGGCTGGAATGCAGTGGTTCGATCATAACTCACTGCAGCCTCAAACTCCCAGGCTCAAGCAATCCTCCCACCTCAGCCTCTGGAGTAGCTGGGACTATAGGCGAGTGCCACCAAGCTTGGCTGAATTTCGAAAAATGTTTTTGTAGAGATAAGGGTCTAGCTATGTTACCCAGACTCGGTTCACTTTTCAAATGAGGAAGCCAAGACTTAGAGGAGGAAGTTGTCCAAGTTCCAAGCTAACCTAGTGATGTTTGGAGTAAGAATGTTGATGCAGTCCTTTTGGGTCTGCGCTGCATGTGATTTCATGTGATTTCGCTTGCGAGTGTGACCTCATCCCCACACATGGCAGGGGTGTGTCTAATGACTGTGAAGCCCACTAATTTAGGGTTTTGTGTGACAGCATGTGGACAGAATCTGGGGTTAAATTTCCCCTTGCGCTGTCTAAGAAGAAAGGAGGTATAAAGAGAATGTAAAATGTAAACCAGATGGGGATGTACGTGAACTACTGGAGTAATTTGTTGTTTTCAAGCTTTTAGAAGCACGAATTTATGTTGTCAAACAGCTAACAATAAACCTATATGTTACACCACAGGAAAGACTTAAGTAGTCATTAAAACCAGTTTCCTGAGACCTTTTCTAAGCAATTACAGGCATGCGCCACCTCACCTGGCTAATTTTGTACTTTTAGTAAAGACGAGGTTTTTACTAAAAGTACAAATATGGAAAACAATACAACCTTATTTTTTTAAAAATAAAAACTTCAGATTGGCCCAGCCCACGCCCAGATCTATGCATGTTTTGTGAGCACCCTAGGCTGGAGTAGAGCCTCAGATGAGGCAAAGCTCCTTCAACTGCTAGTTGTGAGTGAACCCACAAACTCATACTCAGGTCAACAGCCATGATTAGCAATAGCGGCTACTAGGGATTGTAGCTCAAAGCAAAGCGAAACAAACAAAAACCCACCAGAACCCAACAGAAAAGAGCAGATAGCTCCTTGGAAACCCTGGGGGCCCTTAGCACAACTGAATGCTCACACAGTAAGCACTGTGATAAACTTGGGATCTGTAACAGCATACATTGCTCGATAGAGTCCCCCCCCCCCCTTTGTTGAACTTCACATTTCAAAACTTTACTCCATGCTTCTGAGGACCCCTACTTCTGGGACTTCCTGCTTTCACAGAAGAGAATGTATTTAATATAATGATTATTCAGGATCATGAATTGCCATGTTTCATTTTTTTAATAATGAAAATCCACAAGGGTTTAAAATATTCTTAGACACACCTAGCTTGGCAAATATCATGGACCTCTACATTTGTGTGAATTCACACGATCTAGCCAGCACCTCAGTTCTGGCTGGCCCCCTTTGGCACCAGGACACAATAATTTATTAAGCTTCAATACTTAATAAGTGTGCACAAATATCATGCAGACATTACGACCATACTCATAAACAAAAAGTGTATTAGAGACATAGACTTATACAAAACATCTTGTAAACAAAAGGGAAGAGGTTGATATTTTCTGTACAAAATATGCAGGTTTTTCTTTTTTAATAATCTGTAAGAGGCATCATACTTCTGGCATTTTCAAAAAGTGAAAACTGTATAAAAATAAATATTCTATGTACAAACACACACAGGCCAATCCAAGGTTAGAGGCATCACTGCAAAACAAAAACAAAACAATGTTCTGTTAGTTTCAGTGGGTCTGCAGAGGTTTATTTCCTTTGTAGGAAGGGAGGCAAATCTTGTCCTGGGTTGGATGGGAGTTCTGGACAGGGGAGCTGTGGGAACCATGAGACCCTAGGTGGAAGAAACTGGTAGCTACCTTAGCTCCCTGAGGGCAGGAAACCAAGTTCACCTCTCTGTTCACCTTTGTGGTCACTAGAGGGCACTCTCTTTCTCTGCTGGCTTTGGAGGCCTGGCTTGTAACGACTGCATCGTCCCAGATTAGACTTACGCTGTGAATGAGTAGTCATGAAGGTCTCTGGTTGCTTCTCCAAGACATTGCAGCTCTTGGTGGTGGCTGTTCTTCCCCTGCTAAGCTCAACCATTTCTATCTCCTAACCACTGGCAGCAACCTTAAAGAGGAATTTTTTTAGGGGGCCAGGGTTTGGAGGTCTTGTTCGACACACCTTTGACCTGCTTTTGTGGTGTTTTAACTAGGTCTAGGTGGAGCTTGGTAGGAGGACGAGGACAGGCTCCAGGGACAGATTCTGGGGAGCAATCTCTCTTGAGTGTTGAACTTTTCCTTCTTGGGTTAGGGGGTGCTTTAGGTACCCGGGCGAGAAGGTGTTCAACGTCGGCCTGGGGTCTTGGTGGTTTCACCACTTTTACCCACCCCAGTGCACTAATGAGATTCCGGGTATCTTAGCACAGGGGAGCTTGTTCATCTCACAGTAAGTGTGACTCGTCTGTCACTGGAACAGGACTGGATTCGTTGAGCACAGACTCTTGAAAAGGTTGGAGTCTCCAGCCCCTTAATGAGGCTGAACCTTGAGACAATGGTGGTGGGGGTTTGGTGAAAAGATTTGGAGAGGCAAGGTGGAGGGAGACAGCATGGGGCAGCATAGCAGCTGCCACTATTGCTGGGGACCAATGCGGGGCTTCTGGGTTAGTTAGCAAACAGACGGCCCCTGTCAGCCTGGGCAGCCCTGCGCTCTGGGGATCCATGGTTGAATGGGGTGATCGCGTGCAAGGGCACAGCCCTGTGCTGTCAGACTGATGTAATGATGGCAAATGCCAAGGGCAGTGTGAATCAATGAAAACTCATTGTCGGTAGGAACTCTGGGAGCCCAGGAGAGACTGCACTGCAGGTCACATGTGTGGTGGCATGAAGCTCTGCGAGCTTAAATACAAGGGGAGTGGTAGAGTGGTGAGTGGCACAGCCCCTATGGGAGGCACAGTAGCATGTGAGATCAGAGTGTAAGCAACTGAGATGCCCAACATCTAAGACACGTCCTCATGTGTCATAAACGACCTCAGAGGAACTCTATGAGTGTAACTGATTGATGTCTAAGGTAAAAACATGATCTGAAACTTCTTGGGAAAGTTCCTTGGGAGAAAGACACTATGTACATTGAACACACAAAGCATAAAGATGTCACCTGTGTGGCTGCATGGACATTCCACTTAGGGTCTGCTGATACCTTAAGAAGCATTTTAAAATGTTAAGAGTGTGCAGTGTATGGGATGTTTAATGGGCATCCTGCCTTTGAGACAGTGCCTTTTTGACCTATGTCTCGCTGCCTCATCTGTAGCAAGGCAGAATGGAAATTGTGGGAACTGTATGGCACTGTTGAGAATGGAGCCCCAATGCTAATGGATGGGAAACCTTACCTTGTTCCAGCAGCCCTGGACTGGTAAGCCGTCTTCGCCCTGCAAGGAGGAAGGAAGGCAGAGGGCTCAGACTACCTGTGACAGTCCAGGACAGGGGTAACAGGGGCCACACACATTGTGGCAGCTGATCAGGATGTGGCCCACACACTCTTGTCTATTTTTTTTCTCTACTCCAGGTCAGAACCTCAGAAGGAGGTGGAAACAAATCTGGCTGTTTTCCCGTTGGCTAAGGTCACATGCAGCCACAGTGCAAGGCCAATAGGGGCTGTCCTTGCCTGCGGGGCCAGCAAGCAGAGATGTCCTTGTGTGCCACGAAGGAACAGTCTCTGCGCTGGCCCTGTGGAGTGCTGGCTGCTCACGGGCAAGCCACTCAGCATGAGGGGGCCTCGGTTTCCTCCTCCATAAAACCTGGGCAAGGGCAGTTGCTTGAAGTGACCTCTAAGGGTCCTCCCAGCCCTCTGATTCTCTTATCTGTCTCTCTTCCTAAGCAGAGGGAGGAGGATATGCAGACAGTCCCTCTTTGATGATCAACCCTGGGGTGGGTTGAGGGGCATGAAGGGACAGGCAGCCTCATGGGTATTGCAGCGCAGCCCTGAGATGCCTTCGGCAAGAAATCAATGGTTCCTGGCAAAGTCTTAGCCTTTGCTGGGAATTTGGGGGTGCAGTGCAGGAATCAACTGCACACTGTCAGTCTCCTGTGTTGGTAACAACCATGCAGCCCATTTAGCCTTGAGATGTTCATGTTCTGCCCTCAGTGATAGAAACCTTCCTGAGTCTTCTTAGGCCCTCATCTCCCCTCCTCACTGGCATTCCTTTTGGGGGATCTAGAAATCTAGAGACCAGGTGGAGAAGGCGAGGCTGGGCCAAGGGCAAAGATCTGGTTCTCAGTCAAAGTCTGCTAGACAGGCAGGGCAGACAAGGAGATGGCCACGGGGCTCCAGAAGACTGGAGCAAGTGCTCAGTCCTGAGGGAGCGTGTGGAATGGGAGTCCCCTGCTGTCCTGGTCTAACATCATCCACCCACCCCAGGAGCTAAAAACACTCATCACCTGGCATTCAGCAGGAATTGGTCCCAATATGGAGAGCCTAGGAAGTCTGGTTGTCTTGTAGTAAAAATGACCATCAATAGCTTCCCCCGTCCCCCGAGTCCATAATAACACAGAGGAGGAGGCAGAGTGAGAAACAACAGGGGGAAGACTCTTCTCCAGTAACAGTAATAGAAAAATGACATATTGATATGGGTTGTTACGGAAGAAAATGCCATTTTACATGGAGAGTCAAATCAGGGTGACCTTCATTTTCCCCTCTGGGTTGGAGAGGGAATTGCAGGGGGAGGTTGTGCATTGCACAGTTTCAGGGTGACCCTGTGTCCCTTCCCCAGCCTGCCATGGTGTGGTGCGACACACATCACATGGATGCTGGGAGGGAGAGGAACCTCTGCAGGCCTGAGCGGCATTCCCACTGGCACGTGGATGGTGGCAGCGGGTATGGAGGACAGGGCAGGCAGAGAATGAAAAGTAATGTATGGTGAGGAGCAGAGAGGCCAAGGCAGCTGCTGGCAGAACTAAAGGTGCCTGGATTGTGGGAGGAGATTGTGGCTGAGGGAAGACCTGGCTGGTGCTCAAGGGAGGTGCTTGGATGGGACCAGAAAGTCCCGGTTGAGAATGGTGCCCGTGCCGGCTGCATGCGGGAAGTCTCGAATGGGAAAGGTGCATGTACAGGCTGCATTCAAGAAGTCTGGGTCGGAAAGGTGCCCGTGCCGGCTGTGTGCATGGGGTTTGGCAGGACCGTCAGGGACAGGAAGCATGCGACCTGCCTGCTTGCTCTGCACTCTACTTTTCTTGCATATGCTCCTCCTAAAAAGTCCCTAACGCCATTCAAGGTGCTCTACAACCACCTCTCAGGGTCACACAGCATAATTCCTTATATCTTTTCCTCTTTTGTCAAAGAGAATTCCTGTGTGACCCCAGGGTGGGGATGTGAGGCCCCAAATTCTCATTTATTACTGGTATGATAAAATAACTCTTGAACTCCAAACCTATCGGGGAAATCTGGGGAGAGCAATAAAGTGCTCCCTTCTGCTTCTTCTGCAGTAAGAGGATCAGCATGGAGGCTTAGACTGTCCATGCCAGAGAGGGACCAGGCAGGCAGGAATGAACTGCTACCACTTAGCCTGGGACGTGCTTGGAAGAGGGGTCCTTAGCTGTCTCCCTTCCTCCTCCTGAACTATATTCTCAACCTTTCCATCTCTCCCAGACTCTTCAGTAAGAAGCCATCTGACCATGAAAGAAAGGGACAAGGAAGGGTCTGGTACTGTCTTTGGAGATTTAAGCAAAAAGAACAAACGCTTTAGGATCTGAAAACCTAATCCTGGACCATTGGACCATCCCCTAGTTCTGATGGTGTCACCTGGGCAGTGACCTATGACCAAACCTGGAAGAACAGGCAGGTGGCTCCTCCTCCACCTCAATTCTAGAGCTTCTCAGTATCTTCTGTTGGTAATCTTGCCCTTCTGTCCCTCAAATCATGCGATGGAGGAGGCAGGGGATACACGGCTGACTCAGGCGTCTCATTCACACATTTTGCTAGATGTTCAGCCAGTGCATTCTGAACTAACTGCACTGCCTCAAGGAAAAGAAGTCATGGTTCTGAGAACTAGTCCAAAGAACCCACTTTCCTAGCTGGAGTATCTAGCAGCTTTGTCTATAATCAGTTTGGAGATGAGGATCAGAGGCAGCCAAAGCCAGCTTCAGGGTGGGAGGGCTGGCTCACATCAGGTGGATGTGCATTAGAAGTAGCTGCCGCAGGAAGCCAGGAAACATCCGGGTAAACTTCGCATGCAGGAGGGTGGCATGGCTGGGAGCCCCCAGAGTACCAGCCAAGGTGGGGTGACCCTTGGTGTCTACAGAGTGAAGAAGTGGGACGTGGAGATGGGGAGGATGGAAAGGAGTGTGGACGGTGGCTGGGGAAGCACGCGGTATGAATCACACACGTGGGGAAGCCCAAACTGGCCATGCAGGCAAGCAAGAGCGATGCCATACCAATGGGCACGGGGCATCCAGTCCGTCCAGCCCTGGTAACCCCGGCTCCCCTTTCTCTCCTTTAAAACCTCGATGTCCCTGTTCATAAAACCAACCACGATGATTATTCAGGTAAAGGCTGGCCAGCTCCAACCATGGAGTGGAGAGGCCCAGTCCTCCCCTGGCCAGGATGCAGGACCCTTGAGGGATCTATAAACAGGGGCTAAATCCCAGGTGATCCCCCATCTCCCAAATCCAGCTTTTGTGCTCTCTTTGTGCTCTGGAGAGTTCAGCTTTGCATCTGTACAACCTGCCCCCTCTCCATTAATCTCCCTGTCTTTACAGATTCACTTAGTATAAACACAGACAGACTTCAACTTAGTGCATCATACTTATTAGAACTTTCAAATGGATTGAAAGGCACTGGAGAAACCCAGCAGATGCGTGTGATCATTAACTGTTGGCTCTTTTGAGAAGGCTTCCCATGGGGCGTCTGTCTACTGATTCTGGTCTGCAGCTTTAAAGGTTTTAGCTGGATGGCTGGTGAGCGTTGGGAGGCTGTGCATTAGAAGCCCTTCATCTAGCCTTGCTCTGCCCAGTTTTGAGCATCAGTGGCCCTGAGGAGACACTAACTCTGGTTCCTGCATCCTGACTGAGGGAGAATTCAGATAGCTCGAATGGCCGGCCCACAGAGGTGGCCACAAAACAAAGAAGGCAAATCCGTGGCTCACAAATGCTACACTAGCTTCCAAAGCCATCCTTGAGCTAAGAGCTGAGGCCCTCCCTGAAAATCCCTTTCCTAGTGGTGTCTTCACTTCCACACATCAATTGTTCTGCATCTTCAAAGGCAAAGGATTCAAAGGCAACGGATTTAGCCCGAATTACTTGCAGCTGTGGTTATAAAGCAACTCCAACAGCAGGCAGAATTTCACCGGTCAAATGAACAGATAGATTTTGGTAGCACTGGTGTAGACATTTGGTTCTCATCTTAGCTTATTTGCCTTCTTTGTTTCCAACTTGCAAACCTCAAGGACAAAAACCAGAACAAGTGATAAACAAAAACATACCAACGGGCAGGGGGCATCTAATCCAGGCGCTCCTTGGTCTCCCTTATCCCCTTTAGGCCCTCTAGAGCCTTTCTTCCCCCTCTCCCCCTGGAAATAATGGTTTAGTCCGAGAAAAAAAACAACATCAAAACTTTAGGAACATTCATGTGTTAAGGTTAGAGACAGAAAAAGAAAAATAAAATTAAAGAGGGAAAAAGAGATGCTTTTAATTAGGATATTCTCCCCAATAGGATTTGGAGTCCACACCCACCTCCTCCCCATCCCCAGGCCCCTGAGAATTTGGCTAAGGTGGGTGGGAGAGGGAGGGGAGGATGGCAGCAGGGCTCAGAGCTGCAGGTGGAGGGAACCACAGATGGAAGATTTGGGTGGCCAGTTTTGCTAACACTAAGCCCAGGGTGGGTCTGTGTGGAACACAGTGGCTAGGGACCAACTTCCTTCTCTTCAAGGGTCTATTTTGAAAGGCTATGGGTTGACAACTTTTTTCCCCAATTAATGTTTATCCCTTTGACATTCTACTAGGAGGCGAGGTGATTTTGCTTGGAGCCCTGGGGTGTGTGTGAACATAGCATGTATGAGCATATGCACATATGTGCCTGTGCATGTGTGTATGAGGGTACAAGTGTGTCCTTGTGTATATATGTGTGCATGCACATGTATGAGTGTGTGTTGGTATGTGCTTGGGCACATGAACACGTTTGTATGCATGTGTCCATGCGCACACACATGTGTGTCCTTGTGCACATATATGTGTGTGTCCAGGGCTCATGGATGGCCCCTGGTTCTCAGCTGGGTTCCCCTGTTCTATGTGTATCTTGCTTCATCTTTTTCAGACAGTTATTTGTATATGAATGTGTTGGTTTAAGGAATTCATTTCTTTCTGAAAAGCTGCAGTAAACATCATTTTTCTAAATTGAATTCTATTTTGTATGTGTCAGAGTCCATTTAAAGAAGAGCTGTGGGGAATTCTTTTTAAAAGTGAAGCATCACCTCTTTAATGAATTTGCATTTGCATTTTTTATATGTGTGTTTCCTAAAAAGGGGGTTCAGTGTGTCCATAGGAAATCTTCCTGGGAGCTCCTCTCCTCTCTGGAGGGGGATTATCTAATGCTTGGGGACTTCAACAGTGTCGCTCCAGGGTGACTTTAAAGGCTGGGCAGCATGTTAGTTAGGACAAAGGCTTGAAGGCAGAATTGGTTCCGACAGCAGCATGACTTTGTGAGGCTACTTCTTTGAGCCTTTGTTTCCTTACTTGTAAAATGGGTACAATAACACCTGCCTCAAAAATTTGTTCTGAGGCTGGGCAAAGTGGTTCATGTCTGTAATCCCAGCAGTTTGGGAGGCCAAGGCAGGAGGATTGCTTGAGGCCAGGAGTTCAGGGCCAGCCTGGACAACAAAGCAAGACCCCATTTTTTCAAAGAATAAAAAAATTAGGTGTGGTGGCATGTCCCTGCAGTCCTAGCTTCTCAGGAGTCTGAGGCAGGAAGATCACTTAAGCCAAGGACAGGAGTTTGAGGCAGCTGTGAACCATGATTGCACTACTACCCTCTAGCCTGGGCAATAGAGCAAGACTCTGCCTGAAAAAAAAATTGTGAGGTGTTTGTGCTCATTAAATGCTTAATAATAGCACATAGTATGTACACAGAAAATGATAGCTGCTTCATAATGATAATGATTTCTTTTTAGCTAGTATAGGAGCCAAAGGTTGGGGTCAGAGGTGGTCATGTGCAGTGTTCCTGCAGTGGAAGGCTGCAGGGTAGAAATTCATTAGAGGAAGGCAGAGGATAAGAATGTTTTTGGCTGGGTGTGGTGGCTCACGCCTGTAATCCCAGCGCTTTGGGAGGCTGAGATGGGTGAATCACCTGAGGTCAGGAGTTAGAGACCAGTGTGGCCAACATGGCGAAACCCTGTCTCTACTAAAATTACAAAAATGAGCCGGTTATGGTGATGGGCACCTGTAATCCCAGCTACGCGGGAGGCTGAGGCAGGAGAATCGCTTGAACCCGGGAGGCAGAGATTGCAGTGAGCTGAGATCTTGACACTGCACTCCAGCCTGGGAGACAGAGTGAGACTCTGTTTCAAACAAACAAAAGAATATTTTTGGTGTTCCTTCAGTTCTTTGGAAATTATGCAAATTTCTCGATTCCAGAGGTTGTCTGCAACCAGTGCATTATTCTAAATGAATTTTCTAAAAATGCAAATCCTTACTTAGAAATGGACATGTGTTTAAGATGACATATGTATGCACATATTAGGTATATTTCCATCAGCCTGAAATTTTGTCTGCCAATAAGAACATCATGCTACAAATCATCCCCAAGGGGCAGACCAGCAAAACCACTAGCTATTTGGGTGGGGAAGCCATCTGATAAACTCTCTCAGGGTGTGGCCTCTCATTCTCTGGGTCTTGAGCAGTTTTCTAATGAAGAAGATGGGCAAATCTGCTAGAGTGGGGAATCCCAAGTCCAGGATACCCCGGGGGTAACAGAGGGTTGGCGTGTTCCAGACTTTCACAGCAGGTAGCGGATACTATGGGGTGTTGTATTCTAAAAATCTGGGCAATTGCCCCAAATCAGGTGTCATTTGAGGCTACTGGAGTAGTAGCATCACCTGCAGTCTCCCTGCCTCCCACCCCCAGAGAGTGACACAAAAGAGACCCTGGCAAAGAGGGAACCCTAGTTGAGAAAGGGGTGAATAAAGTCAAGGAGCAAAGGCTTCTTAAAAACATGGGTAAATGTATGACAGTGGACTTTGGAGGAGATGAATGGAAAGCTGGTGAGAGGAAGGGAAAGGATGAAGGACATGGGATTATCATAACGAATGAACATATCGGGGGAGAAGGAGTAAAGGAAGAGGCCAAAAGAGATAGTGGAAGAGGAAGAGGTGAGGAGGCAAGACGGACTTAGGAAGCAAGATACACGTGCACACATATGCACCAACACACATGCACACACACCCACATACATGCACATGCACCCACACACATGCGTGCACCCCCCCACCCCTCAAAGTTGGGCATCTTAGAGAGCAGACGCAGCCTCACTGCATGCACGCAGACCTTTTCAGCTGGCTGGTTTGCAGGCAGCCCCACAGTAACCCCCGATTTTCCTGATGATTAAATTGCCAGATTCATGCCACCCTTTATCCTTTGACTGATTTCTTATCCTAAAGGTGGCTCCGGGGCCAAATTCATAGAGCTACTTAGGGGAAGGGAAGCTACTTAGTGACAAGGTCAGGATATTCTTTCCACTGGTGTGTATGCTTAGAAAGCTCCTGGTTTGGGGCTCTGGGCCTTTGCCCCCCATGACAAGGACCTTCCTTCCATGAACAGGAAGAGGCTCTGGGACCATCCTTTGGTGGGACATGGAGAACAACACTTTTAAGGTTGTATCTTGGTTCACTGTGAAATAAAACAAATCTCTGGGCCAGGCATAGTAGCTCCTGGCTGTAATTCCAGCACTTTGGGAGGCCGAGGCAGGCGGATCACTTGAGGTCAGGAGTTCGAAACCAGCCTGGCCAACATGGTGAAACCCTGTCTGTACTAAAGCTACAAAAAATTAGCTGGGCGTGGTGGCACACACCTGTAATCCCAGCTACTTAGTAGCTGGGAGAATCGCTGGAACCTGGGAGGCAGAGGTTGCAGTGAGTGGAGATCACACCACTGCACTTCAGCCTGGGAGACAGAGCAAGACTCCGTCTCAAAAAAAAACAAACAAGCCACCAAAAACCAAATCTCTGATGGGGTGCATGCAGTGAAGCATGATGTGCACAAAGTTTGGGGGTTGCCCTATAGGGAGCCACCCTCCAAAACCCAGGTGGGGCAGGGGAACTTGAATATCTGTAGCTTTCCCTTCACAGGTGACCATGCAGCTTCTAATCAGAATGTTGTTTTGGTCCTTCTGGCATTTTTACCTTGATCAAAGTGTCAATACTCTGGCATAACCCCTCTATCAACCCCCAAAACTGTCCCTAGTGGAGCAAGCACTGACTTTCTCAGGCCTTTCTTTGTTTTGGAGGTGTCATTACCAAGCTCTCACATCTTCCCCTAAAGTTCTATTAGGGCTGGTGGTATAAAAAAGTCAGAATGGGGGTGGGGTGCAGTGGCTCATGCCTGTAATCCCAGCCCTTTGGGAGGTTGAGGTGGGCGGATCATGAGGTCAGAAGATGGAGACCATCTGGCCAACATGGCGAAACCCCATCTCTACTAAAATACAAAAAATTAGGGCATGGTGGCACGTGCTTGTAGTCCCAACTACTCAGGAGGCTGAGGCAGGAGAATCACTTGAGCCAGGGAGGCAGAGGTTGTAGTGAGCCGAGATCATGCCACTGCACTCCAGCCTGGTGACAGAGCGAGATACTGTTTCAAAGAAAAAATAAAAAAGGTCAGAATGGGGAGGGAAGATTGAGGGGGGACTCTTCCAGGACATACGGACATCCTGAGAGTCAAATCCCCGGAATGAAGAGAACAAGCCGCCCTTTGAGTTGGTAACATGCTGTCTGGGAATAAGTCCATTGGCTTTTTATGGTATGCTCACAAGAAGGTGCATGCCAGCTCACTGTTTTCTGAAGCTGACTTTTGCTAAGTGACACATTCCTAATTTGTAAATGGGATGGAGGAAAGTGTGTCAAACATCAGGAAAGGGAGGGGGATGAGGAATACTTTCCCACTGATTCCTGGGGCCTCAGTGGATGACTTGACAACCTCGGTTCCTGCAGCTCCAGAGCCACCAGCCCCTGCCTCCCTCTGTGACAAGGGTACTTGTCCTGTCTCCACCTCACCAGCAACACGGTCATTGTGCCTTGAAGGATCAATTTTGCAGCCTTCAAACTGCTCAGCGTCTCAAGCCAACTGAAAGAGTCTTAAGAAGGAGGTTTAGAAAATACTGATTGAATATAATAAAGAAAACTAGAACACGTCAGAATGACATTTGAAAGGAAGTTAGTATGCCAATGAAGAGGTGGAATGATCAAAGATTTTAGAGGCCTGAATCCTTTGATGCCACACTGAGGAAAGTCCTTCCCAGCGTGCCTTGGAGCATTGGGAAGCAGGTCTGTTTATTCTGGCAGTTTCCAGACCTGGTCTTGCCATGGCCAGGGGTGGCGCTGCCGCTCCCTCTTGTTTACAGAAGATGCGGGACAAACTGAGTTGCTTTTGACCTGCTGCCGGTGAAGAGCACTTAGGAGAATGGGAGTGCTCAGTAAATAGATGTTGAATTGAAGGGAGTGGAATTCACTCTTGCCAGATAGAAGCATAGATGTTCTGGCACACTCCGTGCATGAACATGGTATCAGTGGGCAAAGATCAGCCACAAGACCTGGGTTCTGGAGACCTTGTGCTCTGACGCTCCATGGGAACCCAGGGCATGTAATCATTGTTCTGGGCCCTGTTTCTCCATCTGTTCCTTCCATTTCTTCTCCACTAAGTGCCTTGGATTTTATGACCCACCAGAAGACACACTTGGCCTCTAGGGCGTGTGGCCCCCCACTCCACAGAGCCCCATGATAGGGCAGCAGATGAGACCCTTGAGGGGAACCCAAAGGCCATCTCTTGGTCAGTTGTAAATTCTCCCTGCTGGGCCCACATGCTGAAGGCTGTGGCAGGTGTCACACCCTGTCACATGGCTATGGGTACCATGGGCATTTGGTAAGTGTGTCCTGGTGAAGATGGCAGAAACCAAACGGACAGCAAGGGCCTGAGAAGGTGCAAGTCCTTTCAGAGCTCTGCTGACTCTTTCCAAGAGAAATACTGGCTGTAATATTTTTTTTAAAAGGGTTGGGTGCTTCCCATAGCCGTCTGCTTGTTCTTGGAGCTGGAATTTATTTTCTCTCTCACTAGTGGCCTGGAATGCCTGGCAAAACTAAGTTTCAGAAGGCGAGGACAAGGTAGCAATGGATCTAAAACGATCATTTAGGGGCCCAATATCAAGGCAACCTAGAAAGAGCTGGACGCATGGCTCTTGTAGCTGGATGTCAATGCTAAGCTGGTGGCTGCCGTGGGACTCGGTCCCTCCTCGTGGTATGGAAAAATACATGCTTCCATTCAAGGATCAGGCCCCAGGCTCCCTGCAAATCACAGGTGAAGGCCCTCCTTGTAAAGCCTTTCAATTTAGGATGGTTTATCAGGCAAAACTGTGTTTGCCATGTTGGTCAGGAATCACTGATTGATCATTCTACCCCATCATGAAGACATTAGTAACCGGCACCCGAGTGCAGAGTCTCAGACTCACCCGGTTTCCCTTGTCCCCAGGTGGTCCATGTAAACCCTTCGAGAGATCAGAGGAGCAAAGGCATGTTAGTGCAGAAACACAGGGCGCTCTGCAGTGCTGCCTTCCAGGCTCATAACGCTCTCCCCGATGCCTCACTCCTCAGAGACAGGTTCAATTATTCCCATTATACGGAAGCGGGATGGAGAAGCAAACCGCTCAGAAAACTTGACCTAGGGGCAAATGAAGAATTCTGGGCAAAGCCAAGAACACAGTTCTAGTTTTCTCACCTCTGCAGCCCAGATCCTGGCCTGTGGCTGGGTTCTCCCAAGGTCACTACCGCAGGTGATGGGTGAGTTCTGAGGATGTGCTTGCCAGGGCAAGGAGTGCTCTTAGCAGAGGGGAGTCCCCAGGGCTCTCCTGCCAGGCTCTTGCTAGACCCTCTTTTCAATATTTTAGCTAGGGGAATTTAGCACGAGGTAAGCCTGGCCCAGATGTGCATACCTGGCCAACACACACAGCCTCCAGCGGATGGGAAACTAAAGTGCGGGCTCTTGCAGGCAGACACCCAATTTCTGTAACAAAGTGATGGGAAAGGATGCTGCGATGGAAAGCCAGGTCTCCCCCGCAAGGCCCAGCTCCCATGGGAAGCTGCTCCACTCATGAAGCCTCTCCTCCTATCACAGGTTCTGAATTTGATTCTGCCCCTCCTGAGGGCAGGGGCCACGGCACACTCATGGCTGAGGTCAGGCTGCACTTAACACAGTGGGAGGGGCTCTCATCCCATCACAGGGTCCGCATGGCAGAGGCCCTGATGCCCTCACAATGCAGTGCCCGGCAGGACGTGCTAGCCCATCACCCGTTGCCTCTTGGCAGCTTCCTCTGTCACAGAAATGAGAATTCTCCCTGGGCCCTAGAATTGTGCTGCAGGCCCTGGGTGTTTCTAATGGGGGCCGGGATGGGCAGAGAGGAAGCTCTGATCCCAAGAGACTCACAGGAAGCCCAGCTGCTCCCGTTGGTCCTGTCATCCCAGGGTCTCCTTTGCTGCCCTGAAATGGGAAAGAGAAATGCATGAATCCTCCCAGACGTGGTAACAACCTTCCTTGCCATTTTCTACTTTGGTATGAAACACAGGAGACCTCTCCAGTCCCCTCAAGAGCCCCCCAGGAAGCAAGGGCTGTGGGAAAGGTGGGTGCCGCTGATGCTAACACTGCCCTGGGGAGGAGGCACAGAAGCCCCCCTCACTCTCCCTCCAGTAGACCCTGTCCGCCAATCCCCCCCAGAATGACCCATGGTGTCCTGGGCCTGGCTAGCCTGAGGCAGAAGCAGGGAAGAAGAAAGCAGAGCACGAAGGCAGGGAAAGAGAAAGAGCTTTACTTTCTGCTCCAGAGCCTCCAGGGTCACCCCTCAGAGCAGCCTCCTGGTTTCCCCAAGCTGGTGGTCACAGAGAAGCCTGCACCCTCTGCAGAAGCTCCCACCCTCCCCACCTGAGACAGAGCCAGCAGGTGGGCAGATGGAGAGCACAGGGAGCTGTCCACGCAGGCAGGGAACTCGATGGATGCCCACGCAGGGACCTCCGAGCCCTGAGTGTGTAGAAGCCAAGGGCTGGCTGGGAAGAGCCGATATGGAAAGACATGCAGCTCCCCTGCCTGCACTCAGCCAACACCCTCACCCTCACCCTCGGACATGCCCATTCCAGCAGGACAAGGCTGGAGCTTGCGAGTCCTGTGACACGGACATGGCCAACATCCCTGGACAGCGACCGTGGGAGCCTGGCCTGTGGCTCTGGCCTCCTGACTTCTTGCTGTCCTCCAGCAGTGGTCTAAATACCACCTGGCCCTCTGTTCCATGCTGTTTCCCTAAATTATTACAAACTTTAGGCATGTCCAGTGACAATGGCACCCAGGGCCTTGTCAGGCTGAACCTGAGAAGGACACAAGGTGACCAGAAACTAAAGTGGAGGAAGCTCTCTAGTTCCTTTCTTTTCTTTCCCTCCT